TCTTCTCCAGCTCTTACTATTTCCCACTTCTTACATAAAATTCCATTTTAATAGGTTACAAGGCAACCACTTATGAGTGTCTACTTATGAGTAAAAACAAAAACTGTAATTAAAAAAAAAAAGCCTCTGATGTCATGGTCACTGTGGAAACAATGCAAGACATGGGGGCCTAGGTTGATACTTAATAAAAAATTAAAAAATGAGTGAATGAGAGAAGTGAGATATACCCATGTTTGGCTGGGCACATAATTTATCAGGAGTTATAAGAGACTGATATTTCTCTACAAAGCCCTTCAATTTTCTTTCTTTCTTTTTTTTTTTTTTTTTTTTTTGAGGGAGGAAGACGAACATTTTCATTTGAGAGAGGTACTATATAAATTTACAAAGAGAGATTTATTGACTTCTATAAATAGGAAATGCAGAGACTGACCTGCATTCTAAGAGGTGATTGGGGAAGCAGGTGAAGTCAGCCCAACCCAACTCCCCTGCTATTGTCTAACACTTCTCCAATGCAATCTTCCAATGCAAAGGGGAAGACAGTGCCAGCTTCCTGATGAAGGTCCCAAAGATAACAGCTAACACTGACAGGGAGAACTACACTGAACTTTGGAACAAAGCCCTGCCGATTCCATCTTAAAAGAATGCTAGAGTTACTTGTGGAAAACTTTAAGGACCTCTGAGTGTTCCGTAGTGGCAGAGACTGCTGTCCTCTCATTCTAGTCCTGCAGCCCCAGGGGACTCTAGTGGCTAATTCCTATTAAGTACTTAGCAATATCTGTCAAAGATCAGGTGTCCATAAGTGTGTGGGTTTATTTCTGGGTCTTCTGTTTGGTTCCATTGATCCACTATTCTGTTTCTGTGCCAGTACCATGCAGTTTTTATTACTGTTGCTCAATAGTACAGCTTAAGATCAGGGATGGAGATACCTCCAGAAGATCTTTTATTGTAGAGGATTGTTTTAGCAATTCTGCATTTCTTGTTATTCCATATGAAATTGAGAATTTTTCTTTCCAGGTCTGTAAAGAATTGTGTTGGTAATCTGATGGGAACTGCATTGAATCTGTAGATTGCTTTTGGTAAGATGGCTATTTTTACTTTGTTAATCCTGCCAAGCCATCAGCATGGTAGGTAGATCTTTCCATCTTCTGATATCTTCTTTTAATCTTTGACAAAGATGCCAAAACCATACAATAGAAAAAAAGATAACATCTTCAAAAAATGGTGCTGGTCTAACTGGATGCCTACATGTAGAAAAATGCAAATAGATCCATACTTATCACCCTGCACAAAATTAAAGTTGAAGTGGATCAAAGACCTCAACATAAAACCAGACACATTAAGTCAGTTAGAAGAAAAAGTGGGGAAGACCCTAGAACTCATTGGTACAGGAGACAACTTCCTGAACAGAACACCAACAGCACAGGCTCTAAGAGCAACAATCAATAAAGGGGACCTCATGAAACTGAAAAGCTTCTGTAAAGCAAAGGACACCATCAACAAAACAAAACGACTGCCTACAGATTGGGAAAGAATCTTGACCAACCCTTTTTCTGATAGAGGGCTAATATCCAGTATATATAAAGAACTAAAGAAGCTAAAAAGCAGCAAACAAAATAATCTAATTAAAAAATGGGGAACAGAGCTAAACAGAGAATTCTCTGTAGAGGAATATAGAATGGCAGAGAAACACTTAAAGAAATGCTCAACGTCATTAGCCATCAGGGAAATGCAAATCAAAACGACCCTGAGATTTCACCTTACACCCATCAGAATGGCCAAGATGAAAAACTCAAGAGACAACACATGCTGGAGAGGCTGTGGAGAAAGGTGAACCCTCCTCCACTGCTGATGGGAATGTAAAGTTGTACAACCACTCTGGAAATCAACCTGGCGCTTTCTTAGACAAATAGGAATAGTGCTTCCTCAAGATCCAGCCATACCACTCCTAGGCATATATCCAAAAGAGGCTCAAGTACACAATAAGAACATTTGCTCAACCATGTTTGTAGCAGCTTTATTTGTAATAGCCATAAGCTGGAAACAGCCCAGATGCCCCTCAACTGAAGAATGGATGCAGAAATTGTGGTACATCTATACAATGGAATATTACTCAGCAATGAAAAATAAGGAAATCATGAAATTTGCAGGTAAATGGTGGGACCTGGAAAGGATCATCCTGAGTGAGTTGTCCCAGAAGCAGAAAGACACACAGTATATACTCACTCATATATACATGTAATATAGGATAAACCTACTAAAATCTGTACATCTAAAGAAACTAATCAAGAGAGAGGACCCTGACTAAAATGTTCAATCCCCATCCTAAAAGGCAAAGAGGAAGGACATCAGAAGAATAAGAAAACAGGAAACAAGCTAGAAACCCACCACGGAGGGCCTCTGAAAGGCTCTGCCCTGCAGACTATCAAAGCAGATGCTGAGACTTATGGCCAACTGTCGGACAAAGTGCATGAAATCTTATGTAAGAAGTGGGAAATAGTAATATCTCATACTCCAACAAAGTACCATGCATGGAGATAACCTAGAACCCCTGCACAGATGTAGCCCATGGCAGTTTAGTGTCCAAGGAGGTTTCATAGTAATGGGATGAGGGACTGCCTCTGACATAATCTGATTGGCCTACTCTTTGATCACCTCCCCCGGAGGGGGGAGCAGCCTTACCAGGCCACAGAAGATGACAATGCAGCCACTCCTGATGAGATCTGATAGACTGGGATCAGAAGGAAGGAGAGGAGGACCTCCCCTATCAGTGGACTTGGGGAGGGGCATGTGTGAAGAGGGGGTGGGATGGTGGGATCAGGAGTGGAGGTGGGAGGGGCTTATGGGGGAATACAAAGTGAATAAATTGTAATTAATAAAAATTTTAAAAAAGTACTTAACAATAGTCAGCCCCAAGTCTTGATCTTTAAACCTATGTATTAGCTCACTGAGTTCCAGAAGCTGCTATGTAATGAGGTTCTTGTTCCTTTGGAACTGTCATCCAAAATAAACTTTTCTCTAACTTAAAAAAAAAAAAAAAAAAAAAAAAAACCCCTCTGCATTTCTCTGTAAAGCTCTTCTTGGCACAGAGATGATAAAATTAGGTTGGATATACTTGATGTACCAACAGAAACCCAAGAGAATGAAGAAAGAAAAACAGTAGACAATTTCAATGGACAATTTAGAGAACTGATGAACAAGAGAGGCTAACGTTTAAAAGCCCATATAATGTTTACAAATTCATATAAATCTAGGCAATGGACTTATCCCTTTCCCCTGTTTCAAAAAAAATTTGAGAATAGTTATAGAGACAATATATAAGGAAAGAATTTTGGAGGAAAAATATATTCAGGATAGAGGAAAATATAGGTCGAGTAAAATGAAGATATTATCAAATTCAGAAAACAAATTCATAAAAACAAATTCAGAAGTTAAAATTAATATTAATGTATGAAGTTAAAAAAAATATTTACCACTCACCAATTTTAACCTCTGTAATGGTATTCTGTCTACATCTATTTGTGTCCTTTCTGGAACATTAGTGAATCGAACTTCAGGGACAGCAACAGCACATATTACATGGGCCCACCTACAAGAAAGGAGACATTAAATATAAATAAGTTCTCTAAATTTACAGATTTCAACTTGGTGGTGACAATCTGGCACATAGAAGAAATGATCCAAAAACCTAATTCCACCGCCAGTAAGTTCTGGATTACCTTTTCAATGACAATGGAATATATTTAGCGCAACTGTGACAACAACTAGGAAAATAGGGCTAGAGAAATGGGTGAACAGTTCTAGCAGTTAATCTTGGCAGATCCCAGCACCTACAAGAGTTCACAACTTCCCTAAACTCCAGTACTAGGAGATCTGATGTCCTCTTCTACCTTCAATGAGCTGCATGCATAGTTAAGTCACAAACATACACAAAATAACTAAGTAAAGGTCAAGGACTAAGTCCTATAACATGGCTATATACAATTAAAAAGCATAAAAATACTGAAAGGTTTTTGTTTTCATTTGATACAATGTATATAATATATTTGAGCAAATTGATAATGTAGCAAAAAAAAATAGTTCAGTTAACTAGTAAACACCTTTTCATATAATTCATGTTATAAAAATGTTTTCTGAGGCAAATTAGTTCAGATATGAATACTTCCTATAAAAATTAAAACTAGTTAAGTCTTTAAATATTTTTCTTCACTGAAAAATTACTATAACCAAAGGAATCTATAGCTGATGAGAAATGAAATCTAGCTTGTTTCCTGATATCCACTTAAAACAGTGCATCCTTTCAAATCCCAGCTTTACATAAATTTGTTACTAATATTATTTAATATCTCTTACATGTTATATCTTCAAGTAAACATAAGAACTTGAGAAAATCAAAAGGATTTATATTATCAAGCCTATAAATCTTTGTTTAAACCAAGTTTTGATATGGTTTGGTTTGGTTGGTTGGTTAGTTGGTTGGTTGGTTTTCAAAGACAGGTACCAGATGTCCTGGAGCTTGCTATGCTAATTAGGCTGGCCTCTAACACACAGAGAGAGACCTGCCTCTGCCTTTCAAGTACAGAGATTAACGAAAGGAGTGCCCCTCTACCCTGCCTTAGCCAAAGCTTACTTATTTTATTTAAACAATGAATGCCAGGCTTCATCTTAAGACCATAGAATGAAAGAACAACTGTTAAACCCACTAGAACATTCTTCTACACTAAAATAAAATTAGTATTCAACAGTAAAAACTATTAAGATAATTTCTCATAATACATGATTTTACAGAAAGTACCTAAGCCATCTTATAGTCCCCATAGGCTATATACAATATCTACGGTCTAGTGACAAGTCTGTAGGATAATGTCAATCTTACTAGATGAGATTATGAAAGATGATCCAAATTCAAGCAAAAGTATTGGCTTTAGATAACACTTTATCAACTCAGACTCATGTGTATACTTACAAAATTCTGTTAATGTCATCAAAACATTATGTACTAGGAGTTCCAATTCCAGTGCTATGGACTGGGTAGGACCATTTGGCCCACAAAAGTAAAATTCTCAACTTATTAAAAAAGAAAGAGGTAGTGAGAGCAAAAGAACAATTCCGTTAACTATGAATGGCATATTGCTGAAGAAGGAAACGGTGAGGGGAGTAGAGTAGAAAAGTACATGAAAGGGAAGACAATAAAGAAGAAACCTGTTCAAAAAATAAGGACTGTCACTGCATAAGAAGCACAGAATAGAAGCAAGCCCTATAGAACACCCTGTTGGCATTAGTCCCTAGAGCAGAATTTCAACCATAGGTCCAAACAGTGAGCATGTGAAACAATGTCAAAAGGAGAGGGGTAAAGCAAACTGTCATGCAGAACCTCATGAGAAGAAAAAGAAATGATGAAATTCAACACAATCAATGTTATCACTTACTTATTGTTTTTAGTCTGTTTAAGAGCACCTCCTCTCAAATTGCAGAGACAGCATTCCTAAAAGGAAATTAATACAATTATAAGATCCATTTAACAAATGTTACTGCCATTCATCTAGAAACTCTCATATGTCCTTTTCCATTTATTGTAAAAATAAAAGTGTAAAAAAGAGAGAAAATCTAAAAATAACTGAGTACATAGGTCCCTTAAAAGGGACCATCATATTTTGATTTTCACTCTCCATTGCAGTAGGAAAGTTGTAAAAAAGAACTTTGTAGATATTGCAATGAGTAATTTTAATTGACATATTGACTGGATTAAAAGACATATTGGGGGGGGCACTTATGAAACACGGGTTTGGTGTATCTATGTGTATCTACACTTTGACTGGCACCATCACATGGGTAAAGAGAATGAAAAAAGGCAAAAAGCCGAATTCATTTGTAGTCAATTCCAAGCACCAAGTTATACCCAGGCCTTGACTTTGGCATGACGGACTATATTGCTCTGTGAGCTAAAATAAAGCCTTTTCCCCATACATTACTTCTTGTCAGGTATTTGTCATAGGAACGAGAAAAATAAATGATATAGAAAACTGGTATTAAGAAGTGAGACTACTGCTGTGATAAACCAGACTATTTTGTCTGTAGACCTTTGGAACTAATGTTCAGGAAAATGTGGAGGAGTTTGGATATATGAGCTAAAGAAACCTTAGAATAGTAGATCTTGCTACAGAAATATTTATTCATCCATGTTTGTTGCTCATCTATTCATAACAGCTAGAAATTAGAAATAGCCTAGATTTCTATCAAAAGGTTCATGGTGAAGAAAAATATGGTACATTTATGCAATGATATATTACTCAGCTGTTAAGAAAAATGAATAAAATTCACAGGTAAATAGAACTAGAAAAGTCATTCAGAGTGTGGTAAGCCAGACTCCAAAACACAAATTTTGTATGTTAATTGTTATGCTTTAGATATGTACAGTACAATCCAAATAACCACAAAGTATAGGTACCAGATAAGGTACTGTAAGAGACCAGAGTGAAATAGAAAATATTGTTACAGAGACATAAATGAGAGACTAGTTTAGGAGGGTTAAATGGAGATAGGGATGGGAGGGCAGGATAATAAATAAAATAATCAGAGGCACAACTAACACTAAAGATGTTTTAAAAGCTATATGAAACCTGGCATGGTGGCACACACCTATAATCCCAGCACCCAGGATGGTAGAGGAAGGTGGATAGCTTTGAGTTCGAGGCCAGGCAGGTCTAAAAAGCAAGTCCAGGACAGCCATGGCTACTTAAGAGAAACCATGTCTCAGAACAACAACAACAACAACAACAACAGGCTATATGGAAACCTATTACTGTAGAAGCTTCCTAACACATATTCACATATGAAAGAAATTAAAATGGAGTCACCAAATAATAGGGGAAACTATGTTCCAAATAGATATCTAATGTCACCAAGTAAAATCTTTAGTGCCAGTAATGGGTTATATCTTGTTGAATCATTGGCAAAATGGGCTCATGGAACCCATCTCCACCACCAAAAATCATAGGCTATTGATAAGGTTATTGCTTACTTTTGATACCTTGATGGTAAAGCTCTATTGCTGAAAACAACACCTACATGTATCATTGAACATGGAAAAAAATCTAGCTAGTATCTAAATAGCAGTTTTACCCATAATAATTAATGTTCACAGTACTGGAAGGTACTTCTCTACCAGAAGAGAAAGTTAATCATCAATATAGTGTAGCTACAAGTGTTGGTATGTAAGACAGTGATTTGCTTACATGACAGTACGCCAGCGTCGCAAAGATGAGAGTAACCCACCAATAATTATTTCATTGGATTTAAGGTCCATTTCATGAGATGAAATTAGTACCTGACACAGATAAAGTGGCCAAGAACTGAAGACAAAATAGGTTGCAGTACCTTATGCAAGGCTTTCACTGTATATTTGAAGATATTGATACCAACAGAAAAACACAACATAGGTCTGTGTAGTCAATGACTGATCAGACTGATAATATAAAGAAAATGTTAATATAAATTTTAATAAAATATAAAAGCAAATGTTAAGATTATTGTGAGAATGACATTATGATTGAATTTAAGGCCTACATCATAAGATATCTGTATCTGGAACCATTAACTGGGTAAAAACAAACAGTCAATTTGGTCATAGGTCTTAGGGGTAACCTAACATTATTTTTTTCCTAAACGAAAATGGTAATCCCAAATTCTCATCTTTATACCTACAGATTGGTGCATCTCTCCAAACATATCAGAGAAAAGTTTTTCTTTTTCAGTAGATGGAAATAGAGACCTATGAACTGGTCAATGTAACAATAAAGAAAGACTAAAAAAATAAAATAAAATAAAAAAATTTAAAAAAAATAAATAAAAGACAACGAGGAATAGCGCTTCCTCAAGATCCAGCCATACCACTCCTAGGCATATACCCAAAAGAGGCTCAAGTACAGAAAAGGACATTTGCTCAACCATGTTTGTAGCAGCTTTATTTGTAATAGCCAGAAGCTGGAAACAGCGCAGATGCCCCTCAACTGAAGAATGGATGCAGAAACTGTGGTACATCTACACAATGGAGTATTACTCAGCAATGAAAATTAAGGAAATCATGAAATTTAAAGGTAAATGGTGGGACCTGGAAAGGATCATCCTGAGTGAGTTGTCCCAGAAGCAAAAAGACACACATGGTATATACTCACTCATATAAACATACAACATAGAATAAACCCACTAAAATCTGTACATGTAAACAAACTAAGCAAAAGAGAGGACCCTAACTAAAATGTTCAATCCCCATCCTGAAAGGCAAAGAGGATGGACATCAGAAGAAAAAGAAAACAGGAAACAACCTAGGAACCTGCTACAGAGGGCCTCTGAAAGCCAGAAGAACAAAACAGGAAACAACCTAGGAACCTGCTACAGAGGGCCTCTGAAAGCCAGAAGAAGAAAACAGGAAACAACCTAGGAACCTGCCACAGAGGGCCTCTGAAAGCCTCTGCAGTGCAGACTGTCAAAGCAGATGCTGAGCCTGATGGCCAACTGACGGGCAGAGTGAATGGAATTTTATGTAAGAAGTGGGAAATAGTAAGAGCTGGAGAAGA